CTCCAAGGAGCCACACAGATGACTGCAGACCAGCCTCTGGGCTCAGGGCCAGGTCAAAAGGTGCTGCCCCCAACTCCCCACCTCCCAACCCCCACCCCGCCTCTGCTGAAGCCTCTGGGAGCATCTGAGGACTTAGGGGCTCAGGACTTAGGGGCTTCCCTGCTCATCCTGCAGCCTCCGCTCCACTAGGAAGTGGTGAGGGTGGTGGTTTGTGGTTTTCAGAGGGGCTGGCAGGTGGGGGTTCAGGAAAGGAAGGAGACACAGCCTTTGAAAAGTAAATAAGCCAGGCCAGCTGCATGCTGGCAGGTGGAGGGGGGGTGGGGGTGGTGGAGCCTGCAGGCTGGGGAGCTAGGGTTGGGGGAGGGGAACCAGCAGCAGCTGAAGCTAAGAGCACAGACAGCCAGGCGTTGGAGCAGGCTGGGGCCTGTGCTCATTCCTGCGCCCTGACAGGCCTGAGCAGACACAGGAAATTCCACCCGCCGACCTCCACCCTCTGCTGGAGGCCAGACACCATGTGCCTCAGGCCTTGCAGTCAGCAGGGGCCTCACGGTCCACCCTTCACCCCCACCCTCACAAGGAAGAGGACTCCCCTTCCCAGAGGGCCAGTGGCTGGGCTGGCTGAGGCACACAGAGCAGAGCAGGGTCCCAGGTCTAGAGGAGGATGGAGGATGAAGCCCCAGCCTCCCCTGCCAACCCCAGCCTCCACCCCAGCCTCCCCCCCAGCCTCCCCACCCAGCCTCCCTACCCAGTCTTCTCAGCCTGCCTACTCCTAGCCTCCCTCCCCAACCTCCCTGCCCAACCTCCCTGCCCTCCAGTCTCCCTCCCCAACCACAGTTGCCTTCACTTTCCAGACCTTGGGGCCCATGAGTGTCAATGCTGCACCGCCTGTGGACACTGATAGAGGCCATGCCACACCCCAGCCTGGGCATTGGGGAGGACCCCCCATCATGCGCTGTTAAGTCGGGGGTGGGGGGGGTCCTGGGGCTTCTGACAGTGCAGAAGCATGACCCTGTGTCCTCTGGACCCTGCTCTGTCCCTTTCCTCCCTTGGGGTCTCTATGCTGCTGCACTCACCCGGAGGGGGCCGCCTCCCCACCAGCTGCCCAGCCCTGGCCCGGGAGGGCAGCCATCCTGGCCTGCAGCGGGGCGGCCCCTGCTCCCACACACTGGGGTCCTGACTCGGGTCTGGCTGGGAATGCCTGGGAGCTGCTGGGGGCAAGCTGACCAGGAGAAGGCAGGATACAGAAGCCAGCACAGCAGAGGGCCGGGCGTCCTGGGGCGAGCGCCTCCTGCAAGCTGGTGGGATGGGCGGCTTCAGGGCTCGTGCTCAGCTTAGGAAGCTCTGGGGGTCCACAGGGGAGCTGGCCTGTACCCTGGGCGTCCGCGGCCACCCTGGCTCACAAGGGTAAGGGCCAGTTTCTGGGGGCAGGTTTTCCTGTGAACAGAGGGGCCTGGAGGAGCTCAGGCTGTAATGGAAGGGACCCTGCACCAGGGGCCTGGGCCTGGAGTGGGGGGGAGGCACGGACCCTGTACCCCCACCTGCCTGTCTGCTGCCCCTGACAAAAGGCCTTTAGCCAGGCATGGGGCAGCACGTGGGAGCCTCTGAATGTCCCTCCTGGTCCCTGGGGTTCCTCAGGGAAGGGTCCCGCAGACCTCAGCGGGCCGGGCCCTGAGGAGGAGCCTTGCAGGGAGTGAGACTATTGAGAAGATGGGTGTGTGTTTCCTGAGACAGGTGCCAGGAGGACAGGGGCCGTCCACAGTGACGGGCGGGGCCGGCCCCCAAGGCAGCACATCTAGGCTCCACGGTGTCCCCATCAGCAGTAGCCCTGTGCCTTCCTGGACAGAAAAGCCGCAGGCTGGGCACAGAGCCAGGGGTGCTGGACCATCAGGGGTGGGGGGGTGCCCCTGATGTGGATCAGGATCCCCGAGACTGTGCAGCAAAGGAGCCCTGGAAAAGCAGATTCACAGACTTGTACCTCACTTATACTTAGATGGCCACATACAGCCCAGCTGTGCACCATGAGTGCCAGGACTTCCCAGCCTGTCGCCCAGCCAGCTCCTGAGCTTCCAGGGTCTGGCCACAGTGGAAGTTGCTGGAGGGGAAGCTGCATCCCAAACCCTTGCTCTGGGAGTGTAGATGGAGGGGGCCAGCAAGAGCACCGCAAAGAGCTGGGGTGGGGGGGATGCGTGCCCGTGCCACACTGGATGGACACTCCTTGGGTGCCCTGACCTGGGCACACTGACAGCTCCTCTGTCCTGCCCCTGCTCACACCAGCAGGTGGGCAGTGGGCCCAAGGGTGCAAACACATCGGCCATGGCAGGCCAGGCCCTCAAGGCCTAGGTGGGCTTGAGCACTAGACTCCACGGTCAGGCTGCGGCATGGGCGGGGGCAGGCAGAGTACCAGGCCGCATCTGGGAGGAGAGAGGCTGTGTGAACCTGGACTGGCCAGAGGTAGAAGGGGCCGTCCAATGGGCCTGACCCCAGACTCTACTGCAGCTCACCCCAGGCCCTCTGTTCCCGCATCTGGCCTCCATTGCGAAGGCTCCGAGGCTCCCATACTGACTTCACAGACGGGGTCCGAGGCCCACAGGGACCAGCAGCCCTTCCTGGTCAGCCCCCTGCAGTGGGCAGCCTCTCATACTAAGGTCCACCCAAGCACAGCCTCCCCACTTTGAGCTTCCCCAGGGAGCACTGCCATCCTCCTGGGCCAGGTTAAGGCGGGCAGATGTCCCCCAAGATGTCCCTCCCGACCCCCAGATCCTCGGAGAAGGTCTGGCCCGTCCGGCTCTGCCAGCCTGCCCTGCTCCTCTGGCTCACTCTGCCCCTCCACAGGCAGGGCCCTGAGTACCGGCCAGGGCTACGGGCTAGCTGCCCAGACAGAGGACAAGAGGGGCAGGCCAGGGTGAGGCAGGGTGAGAGCCTCTTAGAAGGAGCGGGGTGGGGGCCATGGAGCGCCAGGGACACGTGTGGGAAGGCAGGGCTGCTGCACTCCCCCAGCCCCCTTCCAGAAGCGGAGCCCAAGGACCTGGGGCTCCGGGAGCAGCCAGTGAAAGGCCAGGCTCCCTCAGGCCCTCAGGCTCGGCGCCTGCAGCCCCACCATCCCGCCCTGGTCCCTGCAGAAGAAGGCAGCCTGGCGCTCGGGTCTTGTTCAGCCAAGTCCTTGAATTTGCTCCTGGCAGGAAAATGGAGGGTGGGGAGGAGGAGGAGGAAGGGGAGGGCAAGCAGCAGCAGGCAGCTCTGCCCACAGGCAGGGGGTGGGCGCCACCCTGTCCTCCTGCTTCTCCCACCCCTCGCCCATTCCTCTTGCACCCGCCTCCTTGTGGATCACGCGCCATTAATAAATAATGGGGGGCTGTAAGACCTAGAGGAGGGGCAGCCCGGAGGGAAGGCGAGGGAGAGGCATAATTTACCGGGCCGGGTAAATGAAAGGAGCTGTTAGATCACCATTCAATTATGCTGCGCTGGCAAAAAAAAAAAAAAAAGGATTTCCCTGTAAAATGCCTTCAGTGAAACCCTGGCGTTGGTTCCTAGAGAGGCTCCTAGGGGGCGCCCCGCAGCCCTGCCCTGCGGCTGGGGGGCCTGGGGGAGCTGCCCGGAGGGGCGCCGGCCCCCACCCACGCTCCCCTTACAGCAGGTGCTGTCCCCCCAGCCCCGCACTGTGCGGGAGTTCTCAGCTGCCGCTGGCCCGCTGGCCCCGCTGGCCCCGCTGCCCCGCTGGCCCCGCTGGCCCCGCTGGCCCCGCTGGCCCCGCTGGCCCCGCTGGCCCCGCTGGCGCCCGCTGGCCGCTTCTGTGAGCCCCAGCAGGAGCCTCCTTGGGGGCGTGTCCAGGGCCCAGAAAACTGTCTGCGAATGTGTGCCCGCAGGGTGGGGAGAGGGGGGGAGGTGGCCATGTGGTCGAGCCGACCTCCAGCCCAGGCTCAACTGGACGCCTGCCTCTGCCTGGCCGGTATGTGGAGCCAACACAGCGGGCGGTCTCCCTGCAAGGCTGGGGGAGCTAGCTGGGAGGGCCCGCGCGGCTCCCTGGGCAGCCGCGCTCCTCTAGGGGTCTGCCCACTGTGGGAATGTCTGAGCTGGGAAGGGCTTTTGGGGCTGTGCAGTGCATGTCTCCTCCTTGGCCCGGGCCTCGCGGGATGTCCCAGGAGGCTGGCTTCTCCGCGTGCCGGGCAGGCACCAGTCTGGTCAGGCCGCGCGGGGGGTCCACAGGAGCCGGAACATGGACGGCTCCTTCTCGAGGGAAGGCCCGGCCTCCCTCAGCCTCCCTGAGACCCTTCACAGCGAGCGTGCGCGCCGGCCACCCGTGGAGCCCCCGCAGCCGGGACCCACAGGGAGCATGGCCCCAGTTGCAGAGAAGCAGGCACGCCCGCAACGAAACTGCCCCCGGGGCCTGTCCTCACGGAGGGAGGCTTCGGCCACGCGTCCACGAGTGTTACACTCGGCCCACGCGTCAGGAACTGAAACCCCAGCAACTAGACAAGATGTCGGAGAGAATAATATCTCGGGCCAGCCATACCGGCCAGGCGCCCCCTTGTTCTCACACGTGCACACAGCATCTCGGGCTCCCAGGACTAGTCATGGCCCCGGGGGCTACTGCCCTTCCTTGCAGTCCCTTTTCCAAGCCCTGGCCCTGGTGGAGGCCAGTGGACCCTACCACCCAGACTGGAGGCGCCCAAGGGAGAGGCCGCCCCGCTCCCCCCACCCACTAATCCCCTCCCCCTCGGCTCCCCCACCCCTACCCCCGCTCCCCACCCCCCAGCAGCCTCTGGCCACCTCTCCAGGGCTCCTGCTCCCCGTGGGTCATCAAACTCCCGTCTGTCCTAGAAGTCCACATGGCAGGGCCCGCTACACTTTCGTTTTTATTTAAATTACAAAGGGAATGATTCCTTGTAAAGATGCGCACTCATAGGCCCTTTGTAGCCGTTCCCTAGAGACGGGAGAACATTCCGGAACATTCGTCCTCTGCGCGCAGAAGCCTGCCTGCAGGGGGCGCTGCACAAGCACCGCACTAGCGGGTCACAGAGCCGCGGTGGGCAGAGCAGGGCGCCCCCTCAGTTGGCCACGGAGGCTGAGCTCCTGGAGTCCCGGGAGCCCGCTCACCGAAGGTGGAGCCCCTGCCTCCAGAACCCGGGCTCCGGGCTTCTCGGGAGGGGCGCGTGTTGTTCCCAGAGCTGACCTCACATGGCTGTGACCTCGAGGCCCAGGGCAGGGCGCCTCCGGGGCACGGTTGGGGGCGTGAGCCCGGAGCACCCCACCTCCTTTCCCAGGGGGCTCACCCCGCACCGGGGTTGGGGCAGCTCGGCCGGGAGCTCTGGGCTGCATCTTGTTTCTGGGTCTGAGGTCCGTCTGGTGCCTTTAGAGGTGGAATCAGCTGATCTGTGGGTGTTTGTCTGCGTTGTCCATGAGGAGAGGAAACAGCGCGGTTGACTCCGAGGGGTAGGTCGAGCCTCTGGGCGGGCGCCGCGCGGGGACCAAGCGAAACGCTGCCTTAACCGAAGCTGGGCAGCCTCCTCGCAGCCTGACCTCCGCGGGGGTGCACACGCGGGGGTGGACACGTGGGGCTATGCGGGCTTCCAAGATAGCTCGTAAGATCATGAAATGCACGTCCTGGGCCACCAGTGTAAGTCAGCATTTCCTTCTGCTAGAGGGCAAAGCTGCCAACAAGAGAGACAGTCTCAGACACGCATCAACCTCGCGTCCATCTGGGTCCTTACTTGAGCTTTGCTTCGCCAGAGCACAGGCCCAGCACCACTGCCTGGCCCAACCGGAGCGGTGAAGACACCGCAGAACCAGCACCAAATGCGAGGCCTGTGGTGTCGCAGGGAGACTGGAAACAAGGGGCCTCTCTGAAGGCATCAGATGCCAGGCTCTTGGGAGAAAATGGCCCCTTCCAGAAATGCAATCCTGTCAAAGACTAAAGCGCCCTGTAAGCACTACAGCAGGGTGCAGCCGCACTCCCCTGCCAGCCTGCTCTGCACGCAGCCACCGTCCAGAGATCCTCAGGCCACGCAGCAGCCACCCAGCCAACCGCGTGGCCAGCAGTCAGAGTCAGGTGTGTCTGGGGGTGTGAACTTTGAGCAAGCCCCAGAGCCCCAGGCCCTCTACATCGGTGCCTGTGGTGGGGGGTGCTGTAAGCCCTGAGATCTCCATGTCCACCCCCCTCACTCTAGGCCGGGGGCCTCATCTCCTGGCCTGGAAGCCAGCTTCTCACACAGGGTCCCTCGCTTCAGGTGGCCTCAAGCACTGAGGGGTGGCGGTCTTCCGGAAAGGCACCCACAAAAAAGTTCTTCCAGTTCCCACTGTACTTGCGAGGTGGGGGGCAGACCGAGGATGAGGGGGCCGCGGTCTCTGGGAGGAGGCAGCAGAGCCCCCGGGGCGGCACTCGCGGGGAGACCGTGCACGGCCGTGGGAGGCTGCGTGTGCGTGGAATAGTGCGTGAGCGGATCTGCCCAGGGGCCATGCTGGCTGGGGAGGGGGTGACACGGCAGAGCCAGCTGGACCAAGCCTTGTTGCCTGGTGGTGGAGCGGGCCTTTGTCCGTTGGGGAGCAACGTGTGCTCGGGGTGGGGGGAGGTTGCGTGAGATAGGAGGGTGCGCCCCAGGCCAAGGGGCAGCCCCCACCCCCAGACCCAGCAGGGGCCGCTGGGGGAGGTGGTCACCGGGCAGGGGGGAAGGGGGACTCCAGCGCAACCGAAGGACCACGGGGACCACGTGGGGCAGCGATTGTACACAGGGTGCCCGTTTATCAGGAGAGCGGGCGGAACCCGGCGCACCGTGGAGGGCGGCTCTGGCACCCCCACACTTGGGGTCCCTGGCCCCCGGCTCCGCCCCTTCCCGCGGCCTGGCTCTTGGAGCAGTGGGCGGGGTCCGTGGGGAGAAGCAGGACCCACAGGCCCCGGCGCCATTTTTCACAGGAAGCCGCTGCGGAGCCGGGAGTGGGAGAGTCGCGCAGGGACAGACCCCGACGCCGTCCTCTCCCGCCCGCAGCCTCGGCGCGGCACAGCTGGTCCAGGTGGCGCTGATGACCGGAGGCTGGTTTTGAGGCAGCACCGAGCTGTCCCCGGCGCCTGCCCAGCGGCCCTGAGTCGAGAAGGAGGTCTTGCAGGGAGGCCCCGCCGGGCGGGGAGCGTTGGGGTGCAGGGGGCCGCCCACCCCAGAGCCCATCGCTCAGGGCCCACCAGATGCTCACGGAGCTGGATTTAGGTTCGTGAGAAAAATAAGTCAGAAGTTGTTTGCAGCAAACAGCACATGGAGGGGGCCAGCCGCATGCGGGGCTGCCTGACCGCAATCAGGCAAGAAAGAGAGCACACGGCAGGGGGCGCTCGTGCGCGCGGCCTGGGAACGCTGGGCAAGGCTGAGCTGTAGCCTGGTGCGGCCCTGCCCGGACTGGTGCGGGGGCCTCAGCTCTGCCCACGGGCCCCTTGCCGCCCTCTGCCCCGGGTGGGTGGCTCCTGCCTCAAGCGGTCGTTCCTGACCTCGAAGGCAACTCTGGCTGTCGCCCTCCCCAAGGACTCCCCTCTGCTGGGGCTATGTGTGTGGCGTGGGGGCTCCTGGGGGGTCTGCAGAAGTGACTTCACCCCTTTCCACTGAGAAGGGCCATCCCGGCCCAGGGGCCACCTGCCCCCCTCCCCCACAGTGTTGGCAGATGGCCTCCAGCAGCCAGGGAACTGTGAGCCATGAATTGCCTCCCACATGCCCAGGTGAGTGCCCAGCGCTCGGAGAGTTCAGGATTGGGGGTGCTACTGCCCATTTAATTTCATATGCTTTGGGCTGAACCCTTAAAACTCAGGGCACAGTACCCACAGGGTCTGCACTGGCCCAGAGGCTGGAGACTGGCCAGCTGCCCACGCTGCCTGGGCAGAGCTGCCTTTCCCGCTGCCTGCCCTGCCCTCAGCAAAAAGAGGCCAGGGAGGGGCCCCAGGCCCGCCTGCACCCCACTTCGTCCAGGCGTGTCCTGCCCAGGACCACCTGGGCATCCTTATCTGGGGGCTGATCACTGGCCGGGAGGCACTGGGCTGTCCTCTCTGACTCACCCCTGCGGCAGCCTTTCCCCCTGGAGGCAGGCGCACCCCATTCCTTCACACCTGCGAGCCACTCCCTGTGCGGGAGCATAGAAAAGAGAACCCCAGGAGCAGCTCCTGTCTGACAGGGAAGAGGCACGGGCACTGGGGTGACAACAGGCTGCTCCTGGGCACGGCGCCCCTCTTCCTGCACCCCCAGGGCTGCCCAAGACAGTCCTCACCATCTGTGCTCTGGGTTGGGGGAGGGGAATCACTGCCACCTTGTGCCTCAGGCAGGAGTCAACTCTTCACTCCTGCCAATGCCTGCCTGAAGCTGAGTCCTAAGAGACACTGCCTCTGCCCGCCCCCAGGGTGGGGCCACCCCCCTGTCAGCTGTGTGCATCCTCTCCCTGGACTCTTTGGGGGGGGACCCTGGGTGCCTTCCTGCCCGCAGCTGCTGTGTCCGCATATACAGAAGCCCATGTTGTGGTCTGCTGGACCCAGGTCCCTGCAGGAAGGGATGCAGAGATGTCCAGCTAAACCCAAGGTCCTGTGGGTGCCGGTGGGTGTCCAGATGCCCGCAGGCAGTGCACATGGTGGTCCTGCTCTCTCAGGCCCAGCCCCTTCCTGTGCCAGGGCTGCTTGGACTGGTCTAGGAGCCACTCAGTCAGGCCGCGGGAGTTTCCAGGGCAGAGGGAGGCCGGTGTGGAGCCTATGGGGAGGTCAGGGGAACTCAGGACAGGGTCCACTGATGGGAGAGCCAGGGTCCGCTGTGCCCGTCGCTGCATAGGCTCCCTGAGCATCGTCCCTGTCCCAGGCCGCCCGTTTTCTTGAGGTTAAACTTGCTGTCCACACAATCCAGGCTGGACTCACGGCCTGAGTCAGCCCTCTGTCCCCTCCGCTAGGTGCGTGACCCCCACAGCAGGAGGCTGCCTCCATGGCCCAGGGCTTTCCTGGAACGCCATCCCCTGGCGCTGAGCTGCTGTGCCGCGGGAGCGCCTCTGGGCACGGCTGCCGACCGCAGGGCCCTCTGGGCAGCGCGGCTAGGGGCCCCATCACCGTCCGGGACCGGCAGCCAGGCAGCCGGTGGTTGGGCCGGCAGGCGGGCCGAGCACCCCCAAGGCAGAGGTTGGGAGGATCTTCCTGCCTGACTGCAGGCTGCACCTGAAGGGGGCGGGGCGGGAGCCTGGCGAGCGTGAGGCCCCTCTGGTGGACATGCACCCTGTCTCAGCTCGGGGTCTCTGTGCACACGCCGGGCGATCGGGACCGGGAAAGAGAAGCCGAGGCCGGAGGCGCCGCGCAGGTGAGGGAGGCGGCCCGTGCGGTAAGGGCGGGGCTAGACGGTGGGGTGGGGCCATGGTGAGGGCGGGGCCGCGTGGGCAGGGCGGGGCCTGGAGAGCGGCTGCGTGGGCTGGTGGCAGGGCCAGGGTCGGGCACCGTCTGAGCCTGGTGCCTTGCCTGCCTCTCCACGGCGCCCCCAGCTCATCCTCTACTCGGCCTCCCGGCGCCAGGACCACGACAACGGGTTCTTCCGCCCGTTTTTGAGTCCAGGCGCTGGACACCCTGCCTGTCAGCAGTCAGCACGGGGCCAGGGGCTTCCTGACAGCTCAGCCTCCCGCTCCAGCCTCACCACGTGACCCAGGAGCGGACCCGTTACTGGGAGGAGCCCAGGGAGCACGATGGGAGCCGGGTGGGGGCAGGCTGTGAGAAAGGGCTGTTCCTCCAGGGCCAGGAGTACGGACTCTGTGCGCACCCCCTCTCCCTCCCCCACATACACCAAGGCCCTGCAGGCGGGCGGCAGGGCCCGGGCCGGGTGACCTCTGCCCTCTGTGCCCCTCCCTGCTGGGTTTGTCTGCCGCCTCTGACCGTGGGCTCCCCCAAAGCTGCACCTCTTTCCAGGCTCCTGAGCCTCTCCGCGGACAGAGGCCCAGTCTGCCCCCACTGGACCCGACCCCATGCCCCACTGCTGGGGGCTGCAGCGCGTGAGCTCGGGGTTGGCGGCCGACCTGGGCCCCCGGGGCACGCCTGGGCCAGCAAGGACACTCGGGTTCCAGGCCGTGCTCCCCTCCGAGCCCTCCTGCTATCCTCTGTGTGTCAAGAGCAATAAAAGCGGCCGGAGAGGAACTCACGGCTTTCACTTTGTCTTGCTTGGTCTGAACAAGAAAATATCTTATTAAAAAAGGGAGCAGGTGGGCAGTGGGTGCAGGAAGGTGAGATTTAATTTTGCTGTAGAGAACAAATCATTGCTGGAGAGTGCCTGTGGCCAAGCTCACGGAGTGGGAGGTGGAGGGCAAGCGCGGGGTGGTGTAGGGAGAGGGAGGGAACAGCTCACAGGGGCCCAGGCCGCGGGGCAGATTCCCTACTCCAAGGGCAGCTGACCTCCGGCCTGGAGTGAAGAGAGACGGCAGCTGCCTCCTGGGAACTATTTGCGCGTCTTCTCTGCAGTGAAAGCTCGAAAACGCCGGTGGCTAAGGCCCTTAGACAGCAGTCCTGGCCAGCTCTGGGCAGGGCCACGCAGGGCTCAGAGGCAGGCGCCCCCCAGCATTGAAAACAGCGCCAGGGGCTCTGGCCTGAGGACCACGGGCTGTGCTCCTCCTACATGCGCCCAGGGGTGTTAGAGAAAAGGGTAAAAACACCCCGTTTGGGAGATTCTTTCCAGAAAAAAAGTCTGTCTGGGCCGTCACTTCTGCTCCGAGAGACGTGAAGCTTGTTCCAAATGTGGGCAGCTGAGAACCGCTTGTGTCCCGCCCAGCCCCCTGCGCGCCCCGCTGCGTTCACAGCTCGGCTCTCCGGTTTCTTCTGTGACTGGCTTCCGTGTGTCCCACAGCGGCTATTGCGCACCAGGGCCAGGTGCTGAGCTCAGCACGTGTCTGGGACCGGGCTGCCCCACCCTCCCCACCCCTGCCGGCGCCTAAAGTGGCATCCAGGCTGGGGCAGGGAGAGCGCTGGTGACCACAGTGACCGTAGCTGGAAGTGTGGGGCAGTGCCCAGATATCCAGGTGCTGTGTCCAGAGCTGGGGGCTGCACCGCGCCGTGGCACCCAGCAGGAATGGCCTCTGCGCTGGTGGACAAACCGCCTGCCATC